CTCCTGATATGTAGCCAGTAACGACTCCCTTGTAATTTCCACCCATTAGATCTAGTCTTGCAGTCCGGAGCAGGAGAGAAGAGATCTGCTCCATCTTCTACATGACAGCCCTTCAGATACTTGAAGACTGCAATCATGTCCCCTCTAAGCCTTCTCTTTCCCAGGCTAAACACACCCAACTCTTTCAGCCAATCATGTCCCCTTTCACCATCCTGGTTGCCCTCTTCTGGACACGCTTGAGCTTGTCAACACCCTTCCTCAAATGTGGTGCCCAAAAGTGGACACAGGACTCCAGGTGTGGCCTGACCATAGCAGAATAGAGCGGAACGACCACCTCCCATGTTCTGGACACGATGCTTCTGTTAATGCATCCTAAGATTGCATTCACTTTCTTCACAGCCGCATCGCACTGCAGGCTCATGTTTAGCTTGTGATCAACCAGAACACCCAGATCCCTTTCACATGTGCTGCTGTCAAGCCAAGTCCCTCCCATTCTATATCCGTGCCTTTGATTTTTTTTGTACCTAAGTGTAGGACTTTGCACTTCTCTCTATTGAAATTCATTTCATTTGTCTCAGCCCCCTGTTCCAGCCTATCTAGATCATTTTGCATCCTGACTCTGTCTTCTTCAGAATTAGCAGTCCCACCCAGCTTCGTGTCATCTGCAAATTTGATAAGCATCTCCTCTATGTCTTCCTCCAGGTCATTTATAAAAACACCGAACAGCACCAGGCCGAGGACCGAGCCCTGCGGCACTCCACTCGAGACTTCCCTCCATGTAGACGCAGGTGTTGAGCCCTAGGCCAGTGATGGCGAACCTTTTAGAGACCGAGTGCCCAAACTGCGACCCCAAACCCACTTATTGATCGCAAAGTATTGATCGCAACACGGCAATCTAACCTGAATACTGAGGTTTTACTTTAGGAAAAAACAACTCATACATTCACTTAAGATGATCCAAACAAAGTAAGGAAAGCAATCCCAAATGCTTTCATTGACTTAAAGGGCTGTATGATTGTTGATTATGTTTGTTGTCCTCACTTTTGTGTTTTCTCTGTGTTACATTTGTACATATACTCAAAGTGAAACTAATATCTTTAAAGTGCCTCCACCAGCAAAGAGAGCTGTACCCGAAAAGAAGAAACCCACCCCACCCCCTAAAGAAGCAGCACCACTTATTCAAGGTAATTCATCTCCACCTGGGACTGGAGTGAAATGGGAGATGTCTTCCTTTCATTTTTGACCCCTAATCTCATTAAAGTTGAATGTTTTGTGCGAGGTAAACAAAGTGGCAAAATGACTGTAATTTTCATGCAAATCTGGAGGTTAATCTAATGAGATAAAGTGCAAATCAGTATTCAGTATTCTGGAGCCTCTCTAATAGATTTCAATATAGTCATCAGCACCTATAACCAAAAATCTCTTCCAATATCCTGCTCTCAGTATGAACCTTTAGAGCATTAGAGTTCTCATAGTGCTGGTTTAAAGGAGAAACCTTGGAATATCTTATCACTTTGGATCTGTCAGTCCAGGTTTCTCCAGGGGAGAACTGAATGCAGAAGAAAAGAGAGGCCATAAAGTGGTTCTGTTTCATCACTGTAATTGTAGCATGGCAGAAACCATGTGTAGAACTTCACAGGAGGATGTGTTTCGTTGCAGTCCTTCGTTCTGTGTGTCGTTTGTATTAACCTTTGAGTTAAAATACCCATGTTTCTAAAAAAAGACTAATATCTTTAAAGCACATGAGGTTCAAGAGATGCCACACGAAATACCTCCTTTTTGGCAGAGAATTCGACACTTTAATGATGGTCTGGGCCTGGCTGGGGCGATGGCACGTGTTGCCCACAGAGAGGGCTCTGAGTGCCACCTCCGGCACCCGTGCCATAGGTTCGCCACCACTGCTCTAGGCTCATCCTGCACTGAGCAGGGGGGGGCTGGACTAGACAGCCTCTCCGGCCCCTTCCGACTCTGTGATCCTATGATTCTCCTTAGGGAAGAGACTATGATGTCAATAGGCCTATTTCTACTTCAGGAGCTATCCAAAATTCGGGACTAGGGGAACCGGAGCTCTACAAGGGGAGGGAAACAAAATCGTTCTCCATATTTGATGGCTTGGCACTACTTAACCCTCTCTGGCTGGCCTTCAAGAGAAGGAGGGAGCGATGTGATCGCTCGGCACCAGGGAAATACGAACCACAGTCCCTGGCCTCTTAACGACTTCTGAAATGTCACCATGTGTGTCACTGTGGGCACACTGTCCTACCTGCCACTGAGTGCCCAGTCCCTTATGAACTACCCAACGGTCAGGGTCCTCTTCTGAGACTGGATTCATGGCAACCTGGGAGAGGTTGTGGCGCCGAAGTGCTAGTATTTGGAAGGGCGACCTCCAAGGAACACCGGGATGTGACGCAGAGGTAGGCCATGGCGAACCACCTCTGAAACATCTCTTGCCACAAAAAACAGGCCTAGCTCGCTGCCTGGTGTTGTGTATCGCTAAAAGAGCTAGAACGTCTGGCTGCCAGACGATCTTAGGATCTCCTGGCTATGTGACACACGACGCCATACGGTAATTAATTTATTAATTCCGGAGACTCACCAGTCCCCTTCTGTTGCCATCCCCCGCCAAGGGCTGAAGACTTTTCCTTTCCGTTAGTGACGTCTCCTCCCTGACCAGTGTTCCCTCTAAGCTGAGTTAATGTGAGCTGGCTCACCGTTTTTTAGCCTCCGGCTCACACATTTCTGTCTCCACTCAGGAAGGATGTGGCGAGTGTTCCCTCTAAGCTGAGTTAGTGTGAGCTAGCTCACAGTTTTTTAGCCTCCAGCTCACACATTTTTGTCTTGGCTCAGGAAGGATGGCTCCAGAGCAAACTGATTTATACAGTAGCCAAATCACTTGCTCACAACTTTAATGCCAGTCGCTCACAAAGTAGAATTTTTGCTCACAAGACTCCACAGCTTAGAGGGAACATTGGATGTGGCTCCAGAGCAAACTAATTGACGCAGTCGCCAAATTGCCTGCTCACAACTTCAATGCCAGTGGCTCACAAAGTAGAATTTTGACTCACAAGATTCCGCAGCTTAGAGGGAGCCTTGTGACCCATGTTAACATTGCCCTTTTAATAGATCAAGGTGGGGTAGCCGTGTCGGTCTGAAGCAACAGAACAAAGTTAAGAGTCCAGTGGCACCTTTAAGAGCAACAAAGTTTTATTCAAGGTGTGAGCTTTCGCATGCACGCACACACTTGCAGCTGCTGGATGACCTTGGGGAAGCCATAGTTCTGCCAGAGCTGTTCTTGAAAAAGAGCCGTTTCTGTCAGAGCTCTCTCAGGGTGTCTGTTGTGGGGAGGGGAAGGGAAAAAAGTTTGTAAGCCGCTCTCCTTCAGGTAGTGAAGGGCGGGGTATAAATCCAATCTCTTCTTCTTCTTCGTCAGGTGATGACATGGGATTACAGATTGGAGTTTCTATACAGAGGGGTGTCTTGTTAAAGTAGGAAACAGATGATAACCAGAAACTGAGCTTGTTATCCTTTTGATCTGTTAAAAAAAAACCCACCTTCACTATTTTGCATGCATATTCCACAAGACACCCCTAGATATACAACTATGCTACGTCATCCTGTTTCATCGTCCGACAAAGGGTGCGTGCACACGAAAGCGCACACCTTGAATAAAGCTTTCTCGGTCTTAAAGGTGCCGCCGGACTCTAACTTTGCTCTATTGCCCTTTCAATGCTTTTGTACATATTTTAGTGCTGCTGGTCCGACACTTCAACCACTACACCATGCTGGGATCTAGGATTCTCCCAACGGAGGCGTAAGCGTTACAAATTTCTCTGCTCCCAAATGTTCCATTGAGGAATACCTGTGGGGAGTTCAGTTGTCTTCTGGGCCGGAGAAGTATTTGCCGCTGACTTTGCCAACGTTCCGCCGGTGGGCGTTGGCCCTGATGCAATGCCGGCTGTTGAAGGGGGCTGTTGAAGGGTCGTTGCTTGCACTGGCAGCGGGACAGTTACGCCTGTTGGGGGGGGAGCCCCGCGGCTGGCGGCAGTCGTGGCGGTCGAGGCCACAGCCGGTGACGTGGCCTTCACTGTGCTGGCCCCCAAGGGCGACGTCGCTGGTGCGTTCGAGGTGGCGGTGCTTCCATCCTTCGACGTGGATTTCTGTACGGACGCCCCGGTCGAGAGGCTGCTCTGAGCAGGAGTCGTGGCACTTGGAATGGCCTGCTTTGCCGTCGTGGCAGAGATGGAGGCGGGAGCCGAAGGGCCGACCATTACACTTCCAGGACTTTGAGCTTTTGGAGACGTCGCTCCCACAGTGGGAGAGTCTTTCGCCGTCGTGGCTGACACGGTGGTGGCATCTGCGTGCCCTACAGAGACAGAGAAAGCGAGGCACGTCATGGAAATTTTTACCGGGTCCCAACCGGTGTTCCCTCTAAGCTGAGTGAGTGTGAGCCAGCTTGCCGTTTTTTAGCCTCCCGGCTCACACATTTTTGCCTTTGCTCAGGAAGGAGGGCTCCAGAACAAACTAATTTATGCAGCAGCCAAATCGCTCGCTCACAATTTAAATACCAGTAGCTCACAAGGTACAATTTTTGCTCACAAGATTCCACAGCTTAGAGGGAATATTGGTCCCAACTCCATCCCAGCCCCCCCGTATTCCTCTTCC